AGGCCTACTGATGCAGAGACTGCTGCTACACTGGCTGTCTTTGTCTGCATTTGTTCGTGTGTATGCGATAGGAGGGCTAGGTCATCTGCGAAGTCCAAATCGTCTAATTGATTTTGAGCTGCCCATTGTATTCCGTGTTTTCCTCCAGATGTCGAGGTCCTCATAATCCAGTCGACAACCAGAAGAAAGAGGAAGGGAGAGAGTAAACAGCCTTGTCTGACTCCGGTCCTTACTTGGAATGCATCTGTCAGCTGTCCTCCATGCACTACTTTGCACTGTAGTCCGTCGTATGAGTTCCGGCTAATATTGACAATCTTCTCAGGAACTCCGTAGTGTCGAAGAAGTTTCCATAATGTCTTCATATCTACACTGTCAAATGCCTTTTCACAATCAATGAAGTCTATGTACAGTGTTGAGTTCCACTCAATTGATTGTTTGACGATGATCCGTAGTGTTGCAATTTGGTCTGTGCACGACCGATCCTTACGGAATTCAGCTTGTTGATCTCGAAGTTTGGCGTCTTCAGCGTCTTTCATCCGGTTCAGCAACACTCTGTTAAAGACGTTCCCTGGTATTGACAGTAGTGTAATGCCTCTGTAGTTTCCACATTTGCTCAGATCTCCTTTCTTTGCAATCTTGATGAGGTGTCCTTCTTTCCAGTCCATCGGCACTTGTTCCTCCTCCCAAATCTTTTTGAATAGAAGGTGAAGCCTGTTTGTAGTTACTTCGATGTCTGACTTCAGTGCTTCAGCTGGTATGTTGTCGGGTCCTGCTACTTTCCCGCTCTTGATTTGTCTGATGACCGGCCATTCTGATTTCTTCGGTCGTTGGTGGGTTGACGTCTATGGGAAAATCTGTGTGTGCCGCTTCGATGTCCGGTGGATTCATTGGAGCCGGCCTATTCAGGAGTCCCTCGAAGTATTCTACCCATCTGTTCCGCTGTTGTTGAATTTCAGTGATTGGCCTGCCTTCTTTGTCTTCGACCGGTCTCTTTGGTTTACTGTATTTCCCTGATAATTTCTTCGTTGTATCGTAGAACTGTTTCATATTTCCTTCTGTTGCAGCTTTTTCCGCCGTCGTTGCTAGTTCTTCCACGTATTTCTTTTTGTCGGCTCTAATGCTCCTCTTCACTTGCTTGTTTGCTTCTGTGTATTCAGCTTGTGCTTGGACTTTCTCTGCTCGTGTTCGGCTGTTGTTAATTGCTGCCTTCTTGTTCTTCCTTTCTTTGATCTTGTCCAGTGTTTCTATAGAGATCCACTCCTTATGATGGTGTTTCTTTAGGCCCAGAACCTCTTGACACGTTGAAGGTAATGCTTCTTTGATGCCTTTCCAGTTGTCCTCCATAGTAGTTTCTTCTTCCTTCAGTAGATCTTGTAAGGCTTGGAACCTGTTGTTGAGAGCCATCTTGAATTCGTTGATTTTGTTAGTATCTCGAAGGAAGGCTGTATTGAACCTTTGTATTGCTGTTTGTCCAGTTGTCCAGTTCTTTTTTAGCTTCAGTTTTAAATTGGCTACATCTAGGTGGTGATCTGAAGCTATGTCAGCACCTCTACTGCTTCTCACATCTTCCATTGTCCTTCGGAATTTTTTGTTGATGCAAATATGATCTATCTGGTTCTCTGTAGTGTGGTCCGGTGAGATCCATGTAGCCTTGTGTATACGTTTGTGTGGTAGTATTGTGCCTCCTATGACCAATTTGTTGAATGCACATAAGTTTGCAAATCTTTTCCCATTTTCGTTTCTGTCTCGCAGTCCATGTCGTCCCATAATATCTTCATATCCGGTGTTGTCTATTCCGACTTTGGCGTTTAGATCTCCCATCAGAATGGTGAGGTCCTTTCTTGATCACTTCTCTATGATTGATACCTATTCTACATAAATAACATAAATTTTGTTTGATTTACCATTGTAATCTGATTATCTCTAAATGAAATTCACGACCCTTTCTTTCACTGTACAAAAAGACTTACCTAACTGACGACAGCATATGTGGAGAAATCCTTGGAATGCGCATTCCCTGTGACTGATTCTAAAACACTTCAAAACATTTGATAAATACTTATGTGCTTCACATTGTGCCATCGTAGGCCTGAGCTTCAATAAAACTGCTGTTTTCTCAGTTTTAGTGGAACACAGTGTAGTCGATTTGTGAATGTTTTAGGTCATTGTGTTAAGTTGTAAAATGTAGAACATCTATAAGCGAACAGCATTGTTTTCGATTAAATCCTCATCAGGCTTTACTCTATTATACAGCAATATTTATATGCATATATGAAATTATTAAACCAATCAAGGAAGTTTATGTGTCAATGATAACAGTGGAATAGATTACATAAATAAACATAATAATTGAAAGTTACAAATTGGTAATGTGATGACAGGTGTACTAATTGTGATAAGAATAATAAAGGCTTGAATCAGTGTTACGTAATGGGAAATGATTAGAAAAGTATAGACACTGAAATAACATTCATAAAAATGATAAAATTACGTAATAAGAAGTGTTCAGATAATTGGACCGTGAAGTGTATATTTGAGAAAAGGGTGGGATGGGGCGAAGAAAAATAAACGAAGAAAGAGGATAGAAAGTAATAATAAATAAAATCACTTATTAAGGCCAAGGGAGAGATAAAGATGTTACAAATTCCTGGTGAACACAAAGACTTCGATTGTTGGCTCGAATTCCGATAGCTTCTTCTATGTGTAAGAGACGAAATCGAACCTCATAAGGAAAACTAATAGGAATACGATAAATAACTCTAAATGACTTATTTCTGTCTACGACATGATCATTATCAATCACGTGTAATAGAACCGAACTGCGTATTGTCTTGACAGTACCTTTTCCTAACCGCGAAGTGAGGTGTTCACTAACTCTGTCTCAGTTGTCTGGTAGTGCACCCAATATAGTTTTCTCCACAGGAGCAGCTGGAATCATAGATACACATAGAAATGGTATAACCAAGTAACTTATCCTTCAGTTGAGGAACCACCGTATATCGGGTCGAGTACGATAGACAGAAGTTGGTTGCATTAGATGTTCTCTTCACTGCTCTAGTCAGTCTATCACGTAGCGTATCATCAGCTACATCTCCATTGGATTGCAGCTTCAGGAAAAAAGGCTTCTTAATAGCCATTGATGTCGCTATTTTCTTGTTTGTTACATGTAAGTGTTTCTTGAGGAAACCTTGTGGATAACCCATTTCAATCAACATATTATGTATGAGCTCTAATTCCTTGTTTATTGTATCTATTGAGCATATCTTCCTAGCTCTATTTACAAAACATTTGACTAGGTTTCTCTTATAATGAAGGGGTACATAGCTGGTAACAAATTCACTTACCTTATAAGTAGAGATGGGTGGTGGCTAGCAGTGAAATCCAGAACGCGCGTCTCGTCACATTCAGGACTCATCAGCTGGATGTACCCGCATCCCAGAGTTAATGTTCACTCCAGAACTCGAACCCAGTACTGTTATTCACTTAGCTATTGCGTCCAGATAGCCACAAGCTAGTGCAAAGTGGTAAAAATTATTGCATTTTTGTATTGATTGTTCAACAATCGAAATAAATTAATTAACTTACGTTCAATACATATGTTAGGTATTAAGTTTAGTTTTTTCTTTGAAGTCCTATGCAATTCACGATCTCGTTACTTAAACACTAATATTTTCTAGAGAATTCATATTTTAAAATAACAATGTATTCAGTTGGCTTAGTGATTTCAATGCACATGAGTGGTAACTGAAGTTGGAAGAAAATTTCAGTAGCCATTAATTTAAACTAAATTAATGCTAACTGAAATGGTACATCGCAATAGCCTAAATTTCTAGTAAGAATTATACATAAAGTTATTCAATGAGAAATTATATTGTGAAATACTTTTTTATGTTGGTGACTTAATTCAGTATCTAGTCAACAAAGTGTACTTCCGAAGGATTTATATTCATTTATAAATTTTGCTAACCAGATATCTATAATTCAAACACTAGACGGTTGTTTAAATGGGATGCGCACATCAAATTAATTCTTTCTGTGAAGCTAGTTTGTTACATTAACTGTATTCAGGTCTTATTCTTACGTGCTGTTAACCGTTACTGAACTTCACTAGTTACTTATCCAAACAGCTTACAATGATTTGGTGTTTTCTGAACAAATCGACTGATGGCCAAAGTTACACTTATATCACAGAAGTACTTTGACACATCGAGGTTTTGTCCGATATTCAGTCCCATAGCCGATAATATTCTTAATTATATCTGTTTCAAACAATTAGTCCCTTTGATAAATTTCGATAATGCAATGAGAAGACGTAGTTTATCATTGCATAATCTATTTCATCCAGTAGCGAATAAGTGAGCAGTTTTATAACTTTATATCAGCATCAGTAGACCAATAATCAAACTCCCGCCTTTATTCTTTCAAGGAAAATTCTGCATATGGAGCAAAGTAACTAAACAGAGCAACAGTTCTTTTAGACTATTACTTTCTTAAGATCTTATTAACAAATAGTTAATGGGACTTATACTAAAGCCGCGGTCAAACTATTAATGAGAAAAATAAACAGAAGTAACTCACCTTTCTAAAAATGAAAATGCGGAATAGTGTCAATAAACATTTGTTAGGAGGGTGGTAATAATGAAGAAACATCTCTGCCTTACAAAATAATCCCACATATCTTGTACATTGACATATTTATAGGGCTATTAAAAAAATACTAAGCCGTGTAACAATTCACCTCGGTATGAAATTGTCCCATAAATAGTTGTGGCCAGACACTCATACTGATTATTTGCATATACATACACACACAAGCATAAATGGAGTTGGGTCTGAGTAACAAAAATCTTATTTTTACATAAGTGGTCAATTACAGATTGAATAGGTAAACCAATAGAAAAACAGCAAACTAGTGTATCATTTAGCCTGACTGATAGTACGCTAGACACAAAATAATGACGCGTCGCATTACGTAAGTTTTGTAAGCTAGTCAGCAATGCTGCATGACGCGTGTGATGTTGCGCATGTGATCGATTTACTCTCTAGCTATTTTATTGGTTTAATTTGCTACGTCGCTATTGGCAGAAAAATTAAATAGTCATTAGTTGTAAAAGTCAACCCTGTATCGAGTTGACCACTGGGACAATCGCTTCGGCACTAGCAGCTTGTCCAGTTTTCTCGTATTTCCAATGGGCCATGTTATTCTAAGACGCTTATTTTGTTACTATGGCGTTTTGATAAATCCCCATGAGTGAATTGTAGTGCCAATTGGTCTAATGTTCTACTAATTGTAAGGATTAATACGATGACTGAAGTAAACGAAAATTCAGACTCTGGAATTAATTCAGCACCCATCCAGTTGAGTGAAGATGACTGGCTACAACTACTACAGAAGCTTACACCATCTAGTATTGAAAGCTTGCAGCAAACCTTGAAGCGGCTACAAACTCCTGAGCATATCAACACAACAGAAAAGGGAAATACATCAGTACCTTTTGTCAGCTGCTCGCCTTCTGTTCTTGCACCACAGCCTCTTATTAGTCAGGCTCATCCAATTGTTATGTCACTTGGTATGCCCAAAACTCCCATTGCACCAGTGATGGCAATGCCGCATGTTCTAAACATTTCTAAAAATACAGCGAACTCTATCCCAGGAAGGATTGTTCTCCCCTCATCAGCACTTCTTATTGCACCCCCAGCCCATGGACAAGCATACTCTTTAGATTCGTGTTTGCCAGTTGCTGATCTAAGTAGGTTAGTTGTTACTAGTGGATGCTTTCCGAATGTGACTTCCGGTTTGCTTGCAACTACTACTATACCTGAATCCTTCAGTAGTTTAAACACGCTAGCCAATGCAGCGGTTGCTATGGCTGCAAATGCCTCACACGTAAGTCTTGACCAGCTTTATTTTGATTTGTTTTTGTTACGTAACCTTGGGGATATGTAACCATTTACACCTTTTGTGTTTTATTTTAAAATTACTTGCGCCACCACATGCCTTAGTGAAGCAGGGGTCAAATCATTTGTCAATGAACCTTTTTATTACTTCAGTACTCTTGTAATAAAATTCTTTGAACAATCGGTTATGATGGCGAGACTAATTTATGGACGAACTAACGAAATTAAGGGTAGCAAGTCTTGAACTTCGGCTCGAAATTCGGTCGTCCATATAGTTAAGTAGCACTTTGACATTTTAGCTGATATCACTCGGTGATGAAAACCATTACTTTAATTCCTTAACTTGTATTCTAATTTTAATTCTTCATATTAATTTATAACTTTTGAACCTGGTTAGTAGATGAGTCGCCTTAAGGTTCCTAGCGTCACTCAAAGGTCGTCCATAATTTATAGGCCCACCGTTATTATTCGTGCATAGTTTCAGAATTTGATCGTAGTCTCACAAATATTAAGTCCCAATTATTGAGACATTAGATTAAGTTTATTTGTAGAATTCTCAACGTCCTGTAAGATTGGAAGTTAATTCATCCTTGTTATTCTGGTGTATTCTGAGAGTAAAGATATTAACTGGGCTTGGCAAACTGGATGTATATTAGTCATGTCATTTGTTCCCAACTTATCCTCTAATTAAATCAGTTGTTGCGATTCCAAAGATTTAGTCGGGATCTCATCAGTCGACTAGAGGTTACTTCTCACTGATCAACGTATCTTGGCTTTTCGAATTTACTGTTCTGTTAGTTCTGGAGAAACTTATCGATAACCCAAACAGATGAAGTAATTTTTTCTTCTGTCACAATCTCCACCATGTGATTTATTGGCTAAGCTGCAATTTGAGGGCGAGCCAATGATGAACTCTCGAATCGTCTCAAGGTCATATTACGTGCATCAAATAGATATGTTCTCTACGAATGATAAATTGCCAGTTGATTAAATCGCAAGACGTTTTACTCAAAAAAAGTCATAACGTATTGAAAACAATCAGAATGCAAAGTATAGGGCCATGATTAGGTTTTGGTTTTGATTAGCGTTAGGATGTACAGCCAAAATGATAATCCGTAAACCCCGAACCCTAAATTATAAAGTATCTGTAGACGTTAATTTCGACTCCGAAATCAAAACTGTACATCCTGGTCTTCACATAAAATCATTGACTGCGTATTCTAAATATAAATACTAATCCTAAATCCAAATCATGAATCTCAATAAAAAATCTCATTCGTATTTGCTGCATTCTGACTGGTTGAATGGATCATCCCGTCAAGGTCATTCACAGATTTGGGCTCGACTTTATTGCGTTCAGCTTTGTCGATTTGGTACTAGTTCCTATCGATTCACATAGACTGATATTCCAGAGTTATTTTGTAACGCAAACCTAACTCAATAGTATTTAGCTGACTTCTTGATTTGTGCAAAAAAGATAGTTGGGCATTTAAAGTGACGTGGCAAAACACTGATCACAATAATGAACAAGCGCCTAATATCTCTCTACTTCTTCAACCCTTTGATTTTTCTTCCTTTTTCCCGTATAGCACTAGCATTATTGATATTGTCATCAAGCTTGCATCCTTATTGTTTTGTTGGTTTTTTCTCCTTGGTTGTACTGATGCTCAGTGTAGCATTTTAAACCGATACTTATTCGTGCCGGCTTCTGTATTGCTCGTGTCTATCTGGAAATCAGCGCCGAGTTGTTAACCTGCCTTCGTTATTACCTTTCATGATACTACTTATCCTTTCAAACTTCAGAATAACGTTTGAACCTGATTGCTGAGAACTGGGTTTTTAAACCATCAAACTATATTTAACAAATTTGTGACGGATCAGCTAGGTGTACCAGCATCCCAGAGTTGATGTTCACTTTGGGACTCGAACTCAGTACTATTCACTTCGAACGCCATCGCTCTATCCACTTAGCAACTAAATCCAGATAGATGGCTTGTACAGTATGGTTAATTTTAATTCACATATATCCTTTTCTGAATCTCTCCATTGATGTTTAGTACTCCAATTAATCAGTCCTTTTTTGGTATATGTGCATCTTGTGCGGATTACCTTGGTATTGCCACTAAGTTACAAGTATTCTAACCAGAGATGAATCTATATCAAACCACATAAAATTTTAAGTTTGCCTACATCTTATTAATCTATAAGACATTGGTCAGTGTATACTTTTCAGAATTACATAACAATGTGATACTTACAGGGTCAGACTGAATTAGATTGATAGTGTGAATGATAAGCTGATTGGCTAGTAATATTTCGAATTTTTCAGGTGATGGTATATTATCAATTTGGCTGTCTTATGTTTATTTGTATGTTTATATAATCTATCGCTGGGATCGGCGACCTGACGTTATTTTCGTTATGGGAACTAAATTTATCTCTAGCAAGGCGTGTTCCGGTCTGTGGTGTTAGATTTGTAAAGGTATATCCTTTAATTATCATAAGATTTAGGAATCCTGTGTTGTTCATCAACTTGGAAAGCAGATTCAGATAAATCAGCCCAATGATGGTTAGATTGTGATACGGACATGTGCTGTACTATTATTGAATCAATGCACTGACTTGGAAAAATGCAAAATATTAGAAACATTTATCTTTCTTAGTAAACGAACATTTCTAATTTATATGATCAACAGTTATCTTAGAAAAACTGACGTCCCATTATGACAGTTACGAGTAATCTCATCTATTTAGATTGTACTCTGATGAAACATAGTCAACCCAATGGCCAAGACTTCCATCTTCAATCTCACTTATGTCATTTTGGGGAGCACTGTGTACGTAAATAACTTCCCAAATGACATTATGATTGTAATCTAATTTTTATTAGTTTGGAATATACCGTTGTTATTTTGACTGAATTTTGATAAGTCTTAGTTGTCATATATGCATCCTGAGGGAATCGTTTCAATATATCCATTCTATTGAGTTCTGGAATGAAAATTAACTCTAAAATTCAAGTACATTCAGCTGTGTTCTAAATGGGACGAAACGTGCATTTTAGGTTCCATTGACAGAATTCCATCTATTTTATGTATGCATTAATATTGGTTCTGCATAACTGCGGGTTAATGGTTCTCTACACTTTTAGGTACTTAAAAATCCGTAGCACTATTAACCAACCTGTAGTAGTTTAATTATCGAACTATTTAAGTGAAATCAGAAGGAATTGAAGCTTTGTTATTTCTCCCGTAAATCTTTAAAATAAAGATACGTGGATGTAGTGTATACTTTTTGACAAATTCTCATCAAGTTCAGTTATATGTCCGAAATAGTGATCCTAAGTTCATGTCAAATACTTATTTAAAATGACCACATAGATCATTAGTAAACTAGCATTGTCAATGTTGCGATGACTAGTGCCTGATGTAAATGAATCTTCCATGATGGCATTATGACCCTCCAGAACTAAATGGATTAGTAAAGATCTTTTGGGTCGTAGGTACACTTCCGCTTAATCATGTCGAAAGGTGTTTATGAACATAGAAAGGTAAATCCCTAGAACACCTTCCGATATTTATATTACACTTAATGTTAGGATTATTAGAAATCAACATGATAATCAAGCTATGATACCAACAGTTGTGGCAAGGAAGATAAATGAATCCGATTTTTCTCCGATCTGCTGGTAGCTGATATAAGTATATTTATTTATTTATTTGTTGATTTAAACACATATTGGTACAGAAGGGCACCAAATATATATACTCCAGCACCACATCATTCGATGTGTCTGAGGGCTCGGATACTACCCGAACACCCAAACCGAATCAGATGGTTTTCATGGAAGGCCGATCCCCCGTCTTTGACCTAGAGGTCTAATCTACAAGTGAGTGGTGCAACACTAGGAGATACAGTCTCATGGTAGCCGGTGACCAACAACAGGTTCCTACGCTATTTGTTCCGTTAGAATTCTGGAGCCCGTGTACACCATTGGTTTGTAATCAGTTTCCCTAATCCCTTAAGTGTTGTCCCCTTCCTATTCACCAAACCGGTTAAAGCGCCGGACATTTGTTTTTAGTCCTCCTGTATTGTAAAGCGGTAGTTTATTGGTTTAAGTACTCGGCTTTTAATCAGGGGGTCACGAGTTCGAACCTCTTTCTGCATCAGTTTGGACATCTGGATAGATTCGTTGTGTCCGAAATCCTACTACATGAGATTTCTAATTTTGTTAATGAGTCAAATTAAATTACTCTATTAGACTATTTAACTCAACTAATTCTATGTATTCAAACGATAGCACCTAGATATTGGAAATAGTTTATCGGGTGGGTGTTAAGTCCAGCTTATTGAACTGTTAAACTTAAGTTATACACAATCGTCCTATGAATCAAACTGAGTGCACGTTGCTGTAGAATTTAAATAAATAACATCTTGGAGACAGCGTAATGGGTTAGAATTCTGCGGAAACCAACACTTCCTTTCAACCTCATCTCCATATTTTCTACTAAAATTAGAACCATTAGGTATCAGTCGATTTACCGTAACGATGCAGTCGCTCAGAAAACAGTTTTTTTCGCTGTGACGCAAGAGTAACGAGGTCATACTATCTAATTTTTAAGGAATGTGTTATTGACTAGTACACTTGATCTCCATTTAGATATTGTTACAATGTATCTAAATTTATCTATTGTTATCTAAAATTTTTCTTACCAATTTTTTCGTCGCAGCTTTAAAAAATTACCTAATCAACCATTGATTTTTAGATGTATCTTGCTGTTTTGATGACCTTTTAGGCTATAATTTAATTGTCTGATTTAATCAAGTCATATTACTTTATGTTTACAGTTATTTAAAGAATGAATGGTTTAAGAATCATTTTTATATTATACACATTTCAGTGATTCGAGATGTTTTCTATTACTGTTAATTAATATAATCATTTATCTGTAAACCATCGTCGTATCACCCACTAAAAGTTACCTTAAA